GTAGGGAAAATACATTAAAAAAAAAAAAGAAGAGGGATAACAAAATACACTGGCTAGGAGCCAAAACTTACTCCTAGACTGATGCTCTCTAGGTGGGGACTAATCTTTGGAACAGTTTGGTACAATATGTAGCTAGATTTTCTATTATTTGAAATCTTTAAATGAAGAATGATTACTTTTGAAAATATGTTCTTACTTAAATTCATGAAAATTATATAGAAATTAGTAAGTGTGGTTCTGTTGCTGCCTTATGCATGTTAACTTAAGCAGAAATGAATATTTTTTTTCCTCTTACAGTAATGTGAAAATCACAGCTATCAAAGATAATTTGGTTTTGGGAAATTCAGTCATCTTATACTTTATTTTTGATCGTTACACTTCTCATCTCTTTGTTTAAAGTAATTACAATACCAAATAGACAGCTGCAACGTTGGTGCTTGTTAATGCTTTAGTTCTGGAATATTTCAAATTACATTCTTTTTGATTGTGGGTTAGCTTTGCATGTGGAAAAACTAATGATGTCTAAATGACAGCTTAATTTATACCAGATTTTTTAAATCAAGAAGTGAGGATGGCCATTGTTCAGAGAAGTCCTTTGCCCTGTGTTGGGTAGGAGATCCAAAAATGGTCTCACAGATCCCCCTTTTTTTAATCCCCTAAGAGTTTCAGACTGTAAAGAATTCTGTTCCTCAGAGGTCTAGAAAACACAAAGCTGAAATTTATTTCCATTATATTAATGTGATTTACATTGGGGAAAACACAAAATAAAACTGATATGGTTGGAGAAATTGCCTTTATTACTTCCTTATTACCTCCTTATTACCTCCTTATTACATCTTTTCTTTTCATACAGTCTCTCCTAGGAGATGCTACTTTTCTTTCTGTACAGCATTCTTGAAGATTCCTGCCTTTTTCAGTCCCCATTACATTTAGTTTAATTTTATTGGTGTTAATAATTGTAGATTTGATTTTGCCTTGGGATAATACAGCTTCATAAATGTTGAAGTAGTTAGTTTTCAGGGGAATCAATATTCAAATTTCTGTTAGATAACAGAGTAGGTTTTAACTACGAAATAATATTCAGAGTGCTTAATTTAACTGGCATAAAGCCCATGAAAGCTACAATTATAACTGAATGGTTTATCACTATGTATTAACCCTGTGGCCTTAGAAATCATACAGTAGCTTAGCTGTGTAAGCCATTGCATCACTTGCTTGTTGAACAATCCACTGCAAAAACATTTACGTTTCATGTACTGAAGGATATTGCAATGAAAGGATTGAAACCTGCACTTCATTTCCTGAGTGAAGTAATGTAGGCTTTCATCTCTTAACCACTGACATTAGTATGTATATTATGGTTGAATACTTAGCAAGCGTCTAATAAAACGTCTGGGAGAGATAGCCAAAAGTTGAAAACTGTTCTACTTTATGTATTTACTAGTATGCAGAGAAAGTATTCAGGGAAAAATAAATAGGTCAGTATACTGCAAGCATCGTAGCAAATCAGATGAAAGGAACCATGGTAAATTTTACTGGCGTCTTAATTTAGGCTAAAATTTTAGGCTTAAAGTGAGGTTATGAGATATGAATGAGTTGTGTTTCCTTTAAAAGACGTATTCAGATATTTCAAAAATAACTTTTTTCTTTTTAATTGAAATATTTTCTTTCAGAGTTACAAACTTGTTTGGAAACCAGGAGGTGAAACACATTAAAAGTGAGCTGAAATTATTCAGAGTAGTTTTACTGAGTGACCTGAATTAAAGAAAAAGAGGAGAGAAACTGAAAGATAATTCCTGGCTGTGAAAGCCCAACAAACTCAGAACAATTTCTCTTACTAAAAAAAAAATGTGGCTTGTGCAATAATTACAGAATAAGGAGCAAAGCCTTCCCACTTTACCTTAAAACATAGGAGAACTATCTAATTGTCAACTTAATCATGAGATTAATGTAGCTGCTAAAGTTACTATATTAGATCAAAGAGCGGTCAATGGAACTGTTGTTTTAGTGGTTTAGCTCCAAGAATTAATCAAGTGCTTTCAAATGTATAGCAGAAGCAATGACTATTCAGAGAAGTTCATGCCTTCATGTGGAAGAGGAAGTCATTAATCAGGCTTAATGCTTTTGGTATTGATATTGTTTATGTGTCAGCTTCAGTGTGAAGTTTTGTAAGTAAGGTTGAATATACTGCTGATTTCTTTCTTTACTTAATTATATATCAGCTATGATTCATTTCTTGCCACATGATAAATATTTATTTCAAAGAGTATGTACGTATGTATACCTTATATAAATGTAAACACAAATAACACTGCACAAGTAAGAATTAAGTAGTCATATTGCTGTGGACACAAGAATAGGACTCTAAACCAATTTGTAGATAGGATTTTCAAAGTTTAATTTTTATCTGTGAGATTTTTAGGATATCAGCACAAAGGATATTGACAGCAGTTGAAACAATTGTAATAGCAATGAAACACTGCTTGAGTTAGTGGTTATCTGCTTAAGACATCTTGGAAAGGACAGATATTAAATAAAGAGGCATTGTATTATTGTACGATATTTATGGAGATGGAGAATGTTGGAAATTGCCGCTATTTGTATCTTAAATTTATATGCAATCTCAGACCTAGCTGAAATTGTTGGGAACACATGCTACCGCTTGATCTTGGCTAACTGTAGGGGTATTCAGCTTCTAAGTTTGGTAATAGCAGTGACACAGGAGGTCCAAAGTGCTGGTAAAAGCTTAATTAACAAGCTTCCTTGCCATGGGAGTACCAGCTGAAGCAGCTTTTTGTCCACTCTCTTAGCTGCCTGTGCAGTTATGTGGTGACCCGCGTCAGAGAACATATCAGAAATGGGCAGCATTATGCATCTCAGGAAGAATGTGTTTTTTCTGTGGGAAGTAGAAGCAAGCACAGGGCCTAGAGTGTTAACTGGAGGTTATATGTGTGATTAGCAGGCTGTGGGCAGACACCCTTTTCTGGATTCCCTTTTTTTGGTGGAAGTCATCAATGCCAGCTTCTGATATATTCCTTCTTTGGATATTGCTATCTGCACAAATTTGTCAGTGGAGTTGTTTGTGCCAGCTCAGTTGAGCTAGCTTATGTGGTTTGAATTGATGGGCTGAGCTAAGCAACTGAGGATTGCTCACGAAGAACCTCCTCTGGATCAGGATTAAACATCTGTCTACAACCTCAGAAAGTAAGCAGAAAGCAGCTTGAAAAGTAAAGACACAAAAAAAGAATTTTTGGTAGCCGTTTTGTCACATGAGGCCAACAGAGGTTAAAAAAAAGGGGGGGGGGGAAGGTTTAGAGGAAAAGCATTAGTAGCTGGGAAGACAGGTTTATGTTGCTGTGCAAAGAGTCTTCAGCTTATTCCAGTAGTGTTCAGAAGAGGAGGAATGTAAATAAGCAGAACTGCTTTGAAAAACTAAGTCATTTTATCAAATTCTTTTTGAAGCAAAAGTAACCGATGATGCTTCAGATACTGTTTTAATCACTCAGTAGGGCAACAGTAATCCTTAGAATTTAGATATTTGTTAGCTTTTCAAATAGCTGGTTTAGTTTAAGATTTTACTTACCCTTTAAAGGAGATTGCCCCTATCCTGGAAAGTCAGTGGAATGAAAATAATGAGCTTTCGTCAGCCATTTCATCTGTTCCTCCAGCAGCAGTTTAAATAAACCGGTGAACCTTATGGTAGTAAGTGGCTAGTGAGGAGGTTTGGTAATGTCTTAAATGGAAGTTGTTTGCTAGATGTACGTGTGTCTCATCGCTTAGTGTTTGGTGTTTGAGTTTAGGAGAGCTTATGTGACAAGGCAAAACTATTGTCTTTCTTCTAAGATTGTATTTATTGCTTTCCTTTTTGAAATTGCTTCTACAGATTCCTATTTCAAAAATCACGTGCCTACCACACAAACTCCAGAGTCGCTTAGATAATAAGTGTTTAAGGAAGTACTTTGTTGAGCAATTTGGAACCCAGAGCATAAAACTGTTTCCTGTAAACACTTCAGTAAACCTTTATCTGTCTGTAGTTTTGGCTATAGAGCCCTCTCTTGTGTAGGGACCTATGAGTCTTCTTAATGTGATTGTGAGAAGTAGTTAGTGTTTGTTGTTTTGATGTAGTGTTTAATGCAGTATGAATATGCTCGATGGCTGAGGTTCCTATGTGCTGCTAGAGTATGAATAATCATCTGAGTAGGCTTGGTAGTTTTAGAGATTTTTTCAGTGTTTTTCTCTCATGTAAGACTCGCTCACATATCTTTTGGAAGCTGAAAAGAAGATAATCTTTAAGGGTTGCTCCTCTTGATCACTATGAGTGCCTGGCAGTGATCATGATTAACGCTTAAAATTCCAGAAAAAAAGTCCTTGGAGGGAAATAAGGCTGCATTTGCTCTACTTCTTCCAGGGAAGTTAGTCTGATTGTGAAAAAGAAGCCTCTTCAAGAAAAGGTATGGCAGAATTGACTGTTTTCTGCCCCAGTCATTTTTCTGACAAGGGGCCAGGTGTTGACATCAGAGAGCTTATATGTGTTTTGATGGCTTTGTGGGCTTTTTTCTAAAGAGGTGTTTTGACTTGCTGGATGGTGCTTGTATTTTATTATATGAGAACATCGTTCCTTAAATGAAAATGAGAATGTGTGACTATATGGAAATCAAGAGAG